AATGGCGATCATTAAAAAATCTGGAGACAACAGATGCTGGAGAGGATGTGGAGAAATAGGAAGAACACTTTTACACTGTTGGTGGGAGTGTTCAACCATTGTGGAAGACAGTGTGGCAATTCCTCAATGACCTAAAAATAGAAATCCCATTTGACCCAGCAATCCCATTACTGGGTATATATCCAAAGGACTATAAATCATTCTACTATAAGGACACATGCACACGAATGTTCATTGCAGCACTGTTTACAATAGCAAAGACCTGGAACCAACCGAAATGCCCATTGATGATAGACTGGATAGGGAAAATGTGGTACATATACACCATGGAATATTACACAGCCATCAAAAACTATGAGTTTGTGTACTTTGTAGGGACATGGATGAACCTGGAAACGATCATTCTCAGCAAACTGACACAAGAGCAGAAAATCAAACAGCGCGTGTTCTCACTCATAGGCGGGTGTTGAGCAATGAGAACACATGGACACAAGGAGGGGAGCACTACACACTGGGGTCCGTTGGGGGGAAATGGGGGAGGGACAGGGGAGTAGGGAGGTGGGAAGAGATAGCATGGGGAGAAATGACAGATACAGGTGAGGGGAAGGAAGGCAGCAAACCACACTGCCATGTGTGTACCTGTGCAACAATCTTGCATGTTCTTCACATGTACCCCAAAACCTAAAATGCAATTAAAAAAAAAAAAAAGAGTCTCAGAGATAAAATGAGTCTACCTACAAGAATCCTGGGCAGTATGGTGAGACCCCATCTCTACAAAAAAACACACGTGCGCTTTTGGTCCTAGCTTCTTAGGAGGCTGAGGTGTGTGTAGGAGGATCACTTGAACTCTGGAAGTCAAGGCTGCAGTGAGCTGTGATCGCACCACTGCAGTCTATCCTGGGCGACAGAGTGAGACCCTGTTGCAAAAACAAACAAACAAAAATTAAGTCTAACTAATCTGTCATTTTTCCCCAAATTTTTATTTTTAAACATTAGAAATTTAACTGTACTAAGTAACTTGAACACTAAATCCCTAACAATGATACAGTGATCTCACAATTCCAAAAAGTGATTCCTGATTTCATGTTCTGTTTTATAGATAATTTCATGTTCTGTTTTATAATCTTTTCTGTGGATAATGGCAAAAACATTAGCAGGGGTGAGTGACTGAGCTGTAAGATTTTTAGGTTTTTACTTTGTTTCATCCCTACCATTATTACCACCACCCCAATCCAGGCCTTTTTTCTAATTTATTGATGTTATTGAAGGAATCTTTTTTGTTGTGCCTTAGTTTCTTATATGTACATTGCTGCCAAAGCCAAAAGGTTTGATAAATGTTACAACAGTAATTGAAAATTTTCCGCTTAAAAACAGAAAACAGAATAAAGACCAGTTATTTTACCTTGACATTCAGGACTTTTCTTTGACTCCCATGGTTCTCAAAGTGTGATCCTGGTCTACCATCAGCAGCATCTCTGGGAATGTGTTAGCATTGCAAATTCTCATTCCTCCCTAATTCTCTGAATCAGAAATTACGGAGGTAGAGCCTAGCAATCTGTGTTTTGGTTTTTGGTTTTGAGATGCAATGGAATGTTCCACCCCCGCTCCCCAGTTGGGCAGGCTGGAGTGTAGTGGTGCAATCTCGGCTCACTGCTATCTCCACCTCCCAGGTTCAAGAGATTCTCCTTACTCAGCCTCTCGAGTAGCTGGGATTACAGGTATGTGCCACTGCACCCAGCTAATTTTTGTATTTTTAGTAGAGATGGGGTTTCACCACATTGGCCAGGCTGGTCTCTAACTCCTGACCTCAGGTGATTCTACAGGCATGAGCCACCATGCCCGGCCAGCAATCTGTTTTAGCCAAACTTCCACATAATTCTGATTAATTTATGCTTTGAGAACTGTTAATCTAGTTTGTCCCTCTCATTTTACAGGCAAAGAATTGAGGTCTGTAGAGATTAATTGAGTTGTCCAAAGTCATACAGCTAGGTATAGTTTTCTGTTATTTATTTTAATTTTATTCAGTTTTCCCCCAGTATTCAATAGTTTTCTTTCTAATACTCCATATTTGATTTGACTTTTTACAAGTTGTAATTACAAATAAGTCTAAGATGGGAAAGTTGGAGAAAACTTTATAGAGAACATGAGATTTGACTGAACAATAAACATTAAGTAGAGAGAAAAGAGGGGAGTGTTATAAGTAGTAGGACCACAGTGAATAAAGGTATAATTAGGTTTAAAAAAAAAAAAAAAGAAAGGTCCTGGGAACAGAATTGGCAAGTTGGACTAATAACAACTAGGTGTTCCTTTATATGAATAAAGTAATTATCACAGTGCCTGGTGTGTTATAATGAATGTTAACTGCCATTATTGGTGTTGGCTGGTGTTATTGGTTGTGTTGTTGATTTTGTTATTATTGTTAGAGAAGTCAAACAGAACTGAAGTTAAAGCTGTGGGTTTCCGAATCAAATCTCAGCCCTGCTGTTTACTGTTTGACTTAAGTTAATCTCTCCTAAACTTCAGTATCCACATTTGTAAAATGGGAATAATAGTGTCAGTCTCATAGGGTGGTTGTAACAAACAAAATAAATGTTGATGCTATAATGGCTTTATAATAAGTACTTTAATGTCAACTATTAAATGTCTTGGCTTGGTAAATCATTTGATTCTGAGTGACTTAATGTCAAAAATCATAATTATTCTTAAAGGATAAATTTGTCATGATTGAAGAGTTCACAAATATGGCCAAGGCAGAAAACCTTAATAACGGAACTGGTTAAGTAAACTCAAGGGACTGATGAAATGAATATTGGGACATTGATATCCTGCAGCCGTTGAAAACTGTGTTTCAGAAAAAATTTTATGACATGCATCATGAGCTTATTTCATATTCATGATACAGTAACAATGAAAAAGAAAGATACCAGGCAGTACATAGTGTCTCAAATTATATAACTTGTTTAAAGTATTGCTCAAAGAATATTCTTAAACATTAATGAGGATAAACTCTGAGACTTTGAGTAACTGTTTTCTCTTGTGTGTTTTTCTTCAGATTTTTTAAGCGAACATACTTTTATAACTAGGAAAAAATTAATGTGACACATACTTTGAAACTAGCAGGATTGTTGGAATAGTTTTATGGCCTCTCCAAATGACTGCTGATACTTTAAAGGGAACAGTATTCATTTTTATCTGCGGTCAGCACAAGCCTCCAGCTGGAATTTGAAATATATTTTGAGTGGACCTTGCTAACTTTCAGTATCCCACCTCAATTATGATAATAGCTAATGTTGAGAGGTCATCTCTACCAGGTACTGTTAAGTATTACTAATCTTACTTAATCTTCACAATAATTTTATATGGTAAGCACCATGATTTATCTCCATTTTATAGATGAATTTAAAATTAGTGAAGGAGCTTAAGTTAAAGAGGTTAAAGCACTTGTGCAAGATAACAGGGTGGTTACTAAGCCAGGAATCTAACCAAGAGCCAGACTTTCTTGAGCCTGTATCCTTAGTCATTGTGCTGTACTATCTCCACATATTAATATTTACAATGCTAAAACATCTGAGGAGCTACCTATTAAGAAAAGGAAGGGTCTAATTTAATGTTGTGGTATTTCTATATATTTGAATAAGATGTGACATGGAAAAGTATTATTTTATCTTTAAAAAATTTTTGGGCCAGGCGCAGTGGCTCACACCTGTAATCCCAGCACTTAAAAAGGCCAATGCAGGCAGATCACAAGGTCAGGAGTTCAAGACCAGCCTGGCCAACGTGGTAAAACCCTGTCTATATTAAAAATACAAAAATTAGCTCGGCATGGTGGTGTGCGCCTGTAATCCCAGCTACTTGGGAGGCAGAGGTGGGAGAACGGCTTGAAACCTGGGAGGTAGAGGTTGCAGTGAGCTGAGATCGTGCCACTGCACTCTAGCCTGGGTGACAGAGCAAGATGCCATCTCAAGAAAAGCCTTCAAATTAAACATTTCCAAAAGGTTTGTGCCCCTTCCCGTGGTATTTTTTATAGGCTAATAGACTCCTAATGAATGTATCCAGTATTAGTAAAATTAATTTGACAATTATACGCTCACGCGTATAATCCCAACATTTTGGGAGGCCGAGGCTGGCGGATCATGAGGTCAAGAAACTGAGACCATCATGGCCAACATGGTTAAACCCTGTCTCTACAAAAAATACAAAAAATTAGCCGGGTATGGTGGTGCGTGCCTGTAGTCCCAGCTACTCGGGAGGCTGAAGCAGAATTGCTTGAAACCAGAAAACGAAAGTTATAGTGAGCCAGGATCATGCCATTGCACTCCATCCTGGCAATAGAGCAAGACTCCATCTCAAAATCTAAAAAAAAAAAAAAAATGTGGGGCTCTGGGGCTTAACCATCTGATTTCATATTCTGCCTCTGCTGCTTAATACTTTGTGACCTAGCATGAGTTGCCTAACCTCTCTTTGCCTGGTTTCCTTATCTGTAACATAGGAATAATAATTTGTCCCTTACGAAGTTGATGCAAGGATTCAATGAACTGATACAGGTATAAAACACTTAAAACAGTAGTGCCTGCACATGTTAAGTTTTTAGTGTTAGGTACACTGTCAACAGTGTTAGGTACACTGTCAGCAGTAATAGTACTATTTATTTGAATTACTATCATTATTATCATCCATCATCATTTGTATTGCTATAACAAACTTTTAAAAGACACCCAAATTGTAGTGTAAAGTTAAAAACATTACATCTAGAGTCCATTGACTTAAAAATTATTTTGCTACCACTTACTGGCTTTCTAACCTTACGCATTTCACTTAACCTTAATGGCCTGAACTGCCCGTCAATAAAACAAGTTAATATTTTTCTTGTCGGGTAATTTCTTCATTTGTAAAAAACATTACTAGAAACTATGTTGCAGTACCAGAAATTATAGTTAAACTATGGGACTATGAAAGAGAACTGATGATGCTGAGATCCCCCATCCTCTCCTCTCTCTGGTGAGGTCCATTTTTCTTCTTTTAATAAAATGGTTTCTTGATATAGAGAAGATTAGCATGGCCCCTGCCCAAGAGTGACATGCACATTTGTGAAGTGTTATATATTTTTTAAAAAGTTGTTTCATGTTTGAATTCACAAAGGGAAAGATTCAGCATTTAGTGCTTATAAGAATATAATAGCCATATTTTCATTTTGCTCTTCATGCTTCATACTCCTGCTCTTATACTCCTTGCCCATAAACTAAAGACATTGCTAGAAATTTTTAAATTTCATGTGAAAAGAAAATTATGGACAGGCTACATTGTTTTAAGCTGTGTGCATATGACGATTTGTGTCCTGTTTTATACTTTCATAACACCTGCATGTGTCCATGGTATGGCAGTTACTATATTGCTTCGATTATTTGTTACATATGTCACTCCCCTACTAGAACAATTCCCTCAGTGGTGGACATTTATATTCACAATGACTATAAACAGATGAAAATTAATAGGCTGGGCGCAGTGGCTCAATGCCTGTAATCCCAGCACTTTGGGAGGCCAACGCAAGGTGGATCATGAGGTCAGGAGTTCAAGACCAGCCTGGCCAGCGTAGTGAAACCCTGTCTTTACTAAAAATACAAAATTAGCTGGGCATGATGGCATGCACCTGTAGTTCCAGCTACTTGGGAGGCTGAGGCAGGAGAATCGCTTGAACCTGGGAGACAGAGGTTGTGGTGAGCCGGTATTACACCACTGCACTCCAGCCTGGGCAACAGAGCGAGCTCAAAAAGAAAAGAAAATTAATAGCATTTGGTTGATAATGTCTGTGAATCCAAGGTTAGGCAAAAAAAAAAAAAAAAAAAAAAAAGGTTTGATTTAATTGTTAATTTGGGGCTATGGTCATTCTGGTCTTAAATTAATGACATATTTGATACTCTGGTCATATCAACTACTGCTTGGTTATATAACACTACTTTTGAATTTCATTGTCCAATTGAACTTGGATTGAACTTAGGTATGTTAAATCTTTGGAAGTTAGTAACTTTAAAAATCATTTTTGGCTGGGCGCGGTGGCTCAAGCCTGTAATCCCAGCACTTTGGGAGGCCGAGGCGGGTGGATCACAAGGTCAAGAGATCGAGACCATCTTGGTCAACATGGTGAAACCCCGTCTCTACTAAAAATACAAAAAAAATAGCTGGGCATGGTGGTGCGTGCCTGTAATCCCAGCTACTCAGGAGGCTGAGGCAGGAGAATTGCCTGAACCCAGGAGGCGGAGGTTGCGGTGAGCCGAGATCGCGCCATTGCACTCCAGCCTGGGTAACAAGAGCGAAACTCCGTCTCAAAAAAAAAAAAAACAAAAAAAAAATAAATAAATAAAAATCATTTTTTTCTTCCTTGTTAAAATAGAAAATTATTGTATGTATTTTAGGAAGTTTGACTCTTAGGAAATACTGAACGTGAAAAACTAGAGGAACAAATACGAGAATGGAAGAAAACATTTTTTAATATTCCATTCTAGGGAGAGACTGTTTTACACTCCTTTTCCAAAAGCAATGAGAGAAAATGTCTTAAGAGAACAGAATGTGATATGTAACAGGAAAGAATTAAAGTTAAGTTACTCTCAAGAAACTTAAATCCTTGAATTAGTAGCTGTCAGTTGGAAATTTTCTTTTTAATCGAATAAAGTTACGAACTTTTGTCAATTCTGGGCCCACAGACATATTTTACTTATTTTTTAAAATTTGTTTCAAATTCATGAATCTGTGGACATTTTTTATATACAGTATTGTTAATTTTGACATCAACACATAACAGTCCACTTTACATCATATGGCTAACTCTCAAATATTGAATGGCACGTCTACCATGAAACAGTATTGTACCATATGTAATTATGAAAGCTAGTCTATGCTTTCTGACTCCCCATTCCTAGTGTAGTGTATTTTCAGAGTGACAAAATTCTCTGTTTATCTCCAACCCAAATGACTCACTAATGCTTAAAATCTACATACTTAGTTTTATATTGGGCATTTCCACTTGAATGTCTCACAGGTACCTCAGAACTTCTTAACTCATCTTTTTTCCCCTTCCTCTTAGCCTCCAAAGTCACTGCCTTAGTACATGGCACCACTATTCATTGGCTTGCCCAAATCAACATTAATTTGGTTCCAGCCTCTTCTCCACTCCCCAGCCCACTGTATCCACTCATCAGGTTTTATGAGATTTACCTTGTAATGTATCTCATGTATCCATGTTTTCCATATTTATTACTGTAGCCACCTTCCTCTCTGAGTTGTATTGTGCTGTAGCTACTTTACTGGTCTCCTCCCACCAGTGCTATTTCCAGTTGTTTCCACTTTGGGTGACCTTCCTAAAACCCAGATCAGAACACAGTACTGTTCTTTTTGATACCCTTCAGTAACTATCTTTTGTTTTTAAGATAAAGTCTAAATTCTTTAGACTTAGAAAATTTATACTTATTGTAATTTATAAAAATTTATATTTAGAAAATGTGTTTTTAACAGCCTTGATAATTTGGTCTCTGCCACATCGTATAGCCATACATATGGAGCAGCTGGCAGTTCCTTGATACCTGTGCTGGAGATGAACATTTTCAAGTCTTCACACACACTCTTCCTTCTGCATGACTGACTCCCAGTTGTCATTCATTTCTCAGCTTGGACTTTATTCAGAAAACCTTATACCAACACCCAGACATCATCTAAGATTGGATTAGGTGTTCTTATATATTCCCAAAATACTTTATGCTTATCCTTACTGGATTAGATGTTCTTCTATATCCCCGCAGTACTTTCTGCTTGTTTATATCAGCATGTAACACACTGCATCTTATTGCCTGTTCAGCTGTCTTTCTCTCTCTTAGGCTGTTGAATAGCAAATACCATATTCTCTTTGATTGACTTGTTTCACCAATAACTAGCACAGTGCATGGCAAGATTTGGCTTCTGAAGATTGTTATTAAGTAAGGAAAATGCATTTTTTTTGAGTCATTTTAAGTATAATGATTTTTCAGGTGGCAAAAATTTAATGTAAGAGATTGTGTGTGTGTCTGTGTGTGGGTATGTGTGTGTGTGGGAATAACAATACATTAATGGAACTGTTATGTAACAGTATCCTAAATAAATAATTTAAAAATTGTAACTACATGTAAAATAAAATCAAACATCTGCTTACAGCAAGTCAAGTTTTTAAAAAGGAATTTTTTATAATAACTTTATTTTGGGGCTCCCTACCGTAAAATATTTAAATTTTAAGTAAACCATTTAACTTTAAAAGTATTTAAATTTTGTCTTGATTTCCATTTATGAATTTTTTTAGCAGCTAGAGAAAAGCTGTGGTAGTTTCCAACTGTGTTAGAAACAGTTGTCAAGTGTGGTTCCTTTACACTGTGAGACTGGGAGCTGTTTCTAAACACAAAGTTGTTAGTAGCACAGATTTGCCTAAGTTTCCAATCTGATCTGTGACTATGGGTAAGTTAATTGGAATTTGTGTATTTGTGGGGAAAAAAACTTCTGTCAATTAAATTCCATAAATTACTCTCTTACTTTATAACCTAAAATGTGTAGACTTTAAACCCCAGCCAGTCAATAGTATAGTTTTTTGCAAATCTTCAAGGTAAAAGTTATACAAAAATGAAAGTATTCTGCTAGCTTCAGAATAGATAGACTCAAGACACTTAGGATTCTTACTTGAATCCTAAAATAAATTTTCAGTGCTACATTCATTATCAAAGATGTCAAAGATTATTTTTAATTAAAGAAACATGTTTATTTTCCAGAAGCCTTTGCTTACTTCTGTGGTTCCTACTAATAGTGACGGTTGTACTGTATTCATAGCATAGGATTTATAGTAAAATTTAGAAATTATAAAATAAATTTTGTTATGTATGTGTGTGCAAACAACATACTTTTAAATTGCACACTAACTTCTTATCCTTTAAGACAGTGGTCCCCAGCCCTTTTTGGCACCAGTGATGGTTCCATGGAAGACTATTTTTCCATGGAACTGGAGGGGTGGATGGTTTCAGGATGAAACTTTTAACCTCATATCAGCAGACATTAGATTCTCCTAAGGAATGCATAGCTTAGATCCCTTGCATGTGCAGTTCACAATAGGGTTCACGCTTCTATGAGAATCTAATGCCTCTGACAGGAGGCAGAGTTCAGGCAGTAATGTTTGCTGGCCCACCACTCACCTCCCGCTGGGTGGCCCAGTTCCTAACTGGCCACAGGGGTTGGGGATCTCTGCTTTAAGATAACCGATAAAGGTTTAGTGAAAAACTTAAATGTGTATGTGTGTGTTTTTATATACACACACTCTTGCTAATGTAGTCATACACCACATAACAGTGTTTTCATTAACAACCGACTGTATATGACAGTGGTCCCAAAAGATTATTACCATATTTTGTTTGTTTGTTTGAGACGGAATCCAGTGGTGTAATCTTGGCTTACTGCAACCTCATGAGTTCAAGTCATTCTCGTCGTTTTCCTGCCTCAGCCTCCTGAGTAGTTGGGACTACAGGCATGGGTCACCATGCCTTGCTAATTTTTGTATTTTTAGTAGAGACAGGGTTTCACCATGTTGACCACTGGTCTTGAACTGCAGACCTCAAGTGGTCCTCCCGCCTTAGCCTCCCAAAGTGCTGGCATTACAGGTGTGAACAACCGCCTCTTGCCATGATACTATATTTTTACTATACCTTTTTCTATCTTTAGATAGGCATTTTTTCCTTCCTTCTTTCCTTCCTTCCTTCCTTCCTTCCTTCCTTCCTTCCTTCCCTCCTTCCCTCCTTCCCTCCTTCCCTCCTTCCCTTCCTTCCTCCTTCCCTCCTTTCCTCCCTCTCTCCCTCCCTCCCTCCCTCCGTCTCTCCCTCCATCTCCCACCTCCCCCTCCACCTCCTCTCTTTCGATGGAGTCTTGCTCTGTCTCTCAGGCTGGAGTGCTGTTGATGCAGTGTCAGCTCACTGTAGTCTACACCTTCCATGTTCAAGCAATTCTCCTGCCTCAGCCTCCTGAATGGCTGGGATTACAAGTGACCACCACCACACCCAGCTAATTTTTTTATTTTTAATAGAGACAGGGTTTCACCATGTTGATCAGGCT